ATTATTTAACCAAAACACTTTAGCAACACAAAACAGCTACAACAGCATTCTCTTAAAAAAAAAAAAGACAACTTATTTTCTAACTTTTACAAAATGACACATTTCCATATTTCAGTAGTTTCAGTATTAGATGCCTCCATGCTGTGAGCAATCAACCTGAAAACTATTCTTGCAGACTTCTGGAGGAGTGCTACTTCCCTCATAAAACCCCCAAAATCTCACACATGCACAGCTTCCTGTACAGAAGAGCTACAGGGACATTTAAAACTTGAGTATCTCAGCTAAAGTTTATGTGAAACTTACTTGATTTTTATATATTTTTTTTGCATTCCCTGAAAAATAAACATCAAGGTCATGTGATGTATAAACACAAACTTGGTCCATTTATAAAGTTATTTAACTGGAAGTTTTGCACTAGATCTACAAAATAATCCTCACGCAGATTACTTTATCTGTGTAGAATTAAAATAACTAGTAACTGATGTGACTATCATATATGTCAGTGCACATTAGAGTAAGCTTGGATTAAATGTTTTGCTGCCATTCCTGCAAAGCTCACATCAACGCATGGGCTGCGATAATCTGTTCACAGTAGATGGCAGACGACCGACTGAAAGGAGGTAAACATGTTAAAAAGCGCAGGGTCACGACCTGCTTAAATCCTCACATGACCCAGGCCAGTTTGGAATTTGATTAACACAGTATTTTCCTACCATATGCCTAATCTTCTTAACCAAGAAACCAAGGAGTTTTTGTGGCTGGTTTATCTTGTCTTGAGTTTAACCATCTAACAATAAAGGTGGTAGTTGAAACCACGGTGTTTACAACAACAAAACAACGGTGACAGAAGGATTACCATTTTCACACCGTCATTTAAGCATCATAAATCGATCTACCGTCATTTTTAGAATTCATCCCAATCACCACGAGTCCAGTATCTGTACTCATCTTTCACACATGGAGGGATGGACCTGAAACTTTTCCAGTTGCTTTGATGGTTTCTTCAGGCAGACTGGACAAGCACTAAAAATGCAGCTTTCTCTCTCTGACCAGAATAACAAACACCAAGCTGGGCAGCTGCTTCACACACACAGGATGCTGCCTTTCAATCACCTCCAAGCCATGATCCATTTCGGAGTTAAAACCACCTCTACACACTCAATTTTCCTATTGACAGCAGTAACAATAGATGTAGTTTCAGGTCTGGTGCTGTTTTTAAACATACTTTTACGAACGTGTTTCAGAATGGTGGATTTTTCATAGACAAACAAGAACTGGATTGGTCAGATTTGGCATTATGCACCCTATCTTTAGAGGTCTGGCTAAACAACATACCTAAAAACAAGCATCAAATCCATGTGATCAAAGCTAGCTCAACAAAAGAAAAAACACGTCCACACACAAATGACATGCCATTTATCAATTTCCTTAAATTATTTAACCAAAAGTTAAATACAGCGTTGGATATGAAGAGTGGAAGCATTGTTTCACTTTCCAAACATTATTTAAAATGTACCTTTAGTTATAGTGATATGTATATATTTTTTCATTTCAAACGGGATACAAAATCTAGCATGACACCTACAGCCAGGCTAATGAGTGTGATTACTATGGGCTAGCATCAACTGTTAGCAGACTGTGACCATCACAGTGCCTGAGAACAAACAGAAAAAAAAAACGTCTTCATTTGTTTAACATTAGCCTCGCTAGCGACGTCTAGCTTTGCATTTACTTAGGAATATGGACATTACCCTCTTTCACTCCCGGCAGTTTATTCTTGTCGATGCTAATGCTACATTCAGCCATGTTGTCACCGATAAATAAGTCAAAAAACCGCTGACGGTGGTCGCGTTTCTTTCCAAGGTTAACGGCAGGCTGGTGATTTATCGCCTTTACTCATAAACCCGATTGATGGCTCAGGTGCTGGACTGCCCTGCTGATTAGTTTCGGTAGCCACCCTCTTCCGAAACGTCGCTGCCGAAGCTGGCGAGTCAGATTTCCTGCGAGCGTCCACTCCCTCCCTCCTGACCAGCTCCGACCAACCAGCAAGCTCGCGAGAGGCCGTGCACTTCCGATAATAGCGTGTCAAAATAAAAGCTGGAGCTTCCGCTTCATTCTTCATTTTACTCCCAAACTGTTACCTGTGGTGTTTTTGTAGATGCAACTAAATAAACTAGAATACATTTTGTCTATCTAAAAAGGAACGATAAAAAAAATATAAAAACACACATTCGTGTATGGGTAAAAAAACCAGCTCATCAAGGTTCAAGTTCTTTATTGTCATTCGCATATGTGATGCATGAGGTAGAACGAACTTGTGTACTCACGGTCCCAGTTACACCCAAAAATAACAAATATATAAAGTATAAAAAAGAAACAGTATACAAGGATCTAAGATATACACAAAGCAATAATTATGTAATATATTACGTTGCATTAAACAGCAGCCTGAACATGAGTCTGTTGTGAGCAGATGGGTATACAGCAGCTTAAGGTAAGAAATCAGCAGCACAGATAAAATGTCAAATCTCCAATTAAAGTGGCATTACAGTAATTTTCCTGATTAGGGATTTATGTCTAACAGCTTCAGGGTAGAAGCTGTTCCTCAGTCTAGTGTTTCTATGCTTAATGCTCCGCAACTTCCTGCCTGAGGGAAGTGGGGCAGAAAGTGTGTGTGCTGGGTGAGTGGGGTCCTTCATGATGCAGGTGGCCCTCTTCCTGCATCTGGAGGTGTAGATCTCTGTGATGGTTGGGAAGATGACTCCAACAGACTTCTGTGCAGCCTTCACCACTCTCTGCAGAGCTTTTCTCTCTGCAGCTGCGCAGCCTCCATGCCACACGTTGATACTGGAGCACAGGATGCTCTCCACTGCACACCTGTAGAAGGAGATGAGGACTGAGCTCCCAAGTCCAGCTCACCTCAGCTGCCTGAGGAAGTAGAGTCTCTGATGTGCTTTCTTGATCAGACTGGTAGTGTTGTTGCCCCAGCTGAGGAGTAGTTGTAACTGGAGACACATCCACCACAGATCCTCCTATGTGCGGGGGGTGGGTAGGTGTGTTGAATCGGTTGCGCATTCATTAAGTGTGAGCTGATTATCAGTCCCATGAAGACTGAACTGAAAATTATGTTGTACATTTAGCACAACTTGTTTCTCTTCTGATAATATATACAACTGATAATTATTACATATACGTAAATCAGGGGACATGTGAGGGCACTCAAGAACAAAAGTGGGCTGGAAAATGAGGATAACTGGCCTAGATTCTAGTAAATTGCAACAAAAATATCAAAAATCATTTGAGACATAAATAAGACAAAATTACACTTTAAAGGGAGAATAAACTAAATCAAAGCAAAGCAAAACTATACAAAATTTGGACACTAAAGCTTCAACATCAAACTGCTTCTGCATGATCTGTCTTTGTCTATTTCTTTTGTCTGTTTTTCAAAATGTGCTGCCGGTTCAGTGAGCATGTCGTTTTCAAGAATAAATCCACACCAGTCACATTTGGTAGACTTCAAGTATCTGTTACTTTATTAAATCACAGATAAGTCAGATTTTAAACTCCCCAAAGTAAATAATCAAGTTGAAAATCCAACAGTCTCCTGTCTGCGTTTATTAACGTGTCTTAAGTTGAAAGGCCAGGTTATTCTACTTCCTGTATCACTCGACAACTTACTGCGTTTCGACATGAGAAGCTCCAGTGATTGTTTTGACATCTGCAGCTTCAAGAAGTCTTTACTCCGAAGACGCCTGAAGCCAGAGCTTTTATCCAGACAAGCAATGATGACTCAGTCTCTGTTAAAAAAACAACAACACAAAAAAACAAAAACAAGAAGATGGAGCCAACTGACATGTTTTTGTATATTTGAATGAACAGAAGTCCCACAGACAACACTGTGTTGCTACAGGTTAGACACTCACTACTTGCTATCATTTACAAACACTTTTCACGTGACTTTTGGGTTATGTTAATATGATTGCGCCCTCTAGTGTTCTGCTGGTGTCAGTCACCTGCCCCTCACCTGTTAAAATAAAATAATTAGGCTAATTAAAAAAGCTCTAATGAACACCATCATACAAAGTGGTCAGTTTAAATGGGATTAGTCCTCAGTTAAAACCTGAAATACTTTTAAAAATAATGTTTTCTTGTTTGTTTTGCTAAAAATAATTGTCTCCCACATTCTGTTTTTAATTAGCTAATAGTGTTTATTTGTTTATATTGTTATGTAAATGTCTGAAACATATTTTAATTACTCAAAATAGCATTCAGCTTCTATTTACTTGAATCTCTTGGTTGTGATTAAGAATGAACAACGAAACGACTCCAATTACAGTCAAACATCTGTGTAGGTCTGTGCAAAACTCTTCAATGCAAGACCTCTACCTGGACTAATACCAGCCGCCCACTGGTCAAATCTAGCAAATGGGAGCCAGATCATTTCCTTAATGAACTTGAGCATAAAGTTGATTTTTTGGCAGAGGTGTGAGACGTGATTTTCCTTGATGCACAGGGCAGACAGTGGTGACCTAAGTGATGTTGGCTCGGTCTTAGTGATGGATATTCCTTCAGCTCTAAATCAGTTTTGAAGCCAAGACCGAGGAGCTCATTTTGTGCTTCGGCCATCATACAGATTAAAACAATTTACTTACCTCTCTTTCTCTAGATCCAAACACTCTCATGTGCCTATTTAAAGAAGCAATTATTGTGAAAGACAAAGACATACCGATGCCAAGACTATCTGACAGAGGTCTCTTATAACCAACTGGATGATTGATAACTTCCTCTTGATGTGACCATGCCAAAGTGATGTACTGGCCTCCGCTGCAACGTCAGAGCCTGTATTTCATTCAAACGCTTCATGGTCTCTGTCAGAGGCCGGGCGGTTGACGAAGATGACTAAGGTTCTGATTTAGGGTCCAAATAGGAGAGGGGCCCCTCCTTTTAGCCAAGGAGCGTATAAATATGACTAGATGGACTCAAAGGAGAGGATTGCTTGAGTTGTTTGAAGAAGGTTCACAGCTCCACTTTCATTCACCATGGACAGGGTCACAGTTGTGAACTGCTGCGTAGCACTCCTCGGTTTGTTAATGCTGCAGGGAGTTACCAGTGTGGAGGGGAGGAGCATATTTACCTCTGGTGAGTGAACAAAAATTAGTATTTTAAATTTAGTCTTTGTAGTTTTATTTTAGACATGTGCATAAAGTTAAGGGACGAAACCCATTAAGATTTTTTTATTTTATTTTTTGGATACTTTTGTGTTTATAGTGTTGCTGTGATGTGGTTTGTTTGTGCAGGAAACCATGTTTTTAATTCCAAAGAAGACACAGACACTCAAAGCAAGATTCTCGATCTTTTACTGCACAAAAACTCAGATCCCGTTGAAAACAACGACGTACTGGGTACGTTTGGTGCTTGAAGTAAAAAAAAAAAAAAAAAAAAATCAGATTGTAAATTAAACACACGCTTGTTTAACTAGATCTTCTGTCTTCAGGTACGAAACTGGCCAACACATTAGCTGAGCTTGAAGAGGTGAAGACTTTTTCTAGTTTTGACATGCATGTTTGCTTTTTGGTTTGATGATGGAGAATTTGCTCAGTGTTCAGTTTAAAACAAGCAGCTGTTTTAATTCTTCTATGATCTAAATAGATATGAGACACTAAAAACAACATTTTTCTACTGTTAAAGTGTCTGAATAGATGACGTTCTAACAATAATCCCGACGTGTTTAATCTCTGCGTGCAGCTAAAAGAACTGAGGGAAGCTCTGGAGTTGGAGAAGATTGCTGCAAATTTGGCAGAAGACAAATCCATAACACGGAAGAGAGGTGAACGTGAGTTAAATGCATTCATTATTCTGAGAATAATTCATCTGCAGCTTAATAGAAATACTGATGCTGATTCTGCACATCTGTGTGTTCTACAGCTTGCTTCTGGAAGTATTGTGTTTGACATGGACAACAAAGAGAAGACCACTGTGAAAACATGCTGCAAAGCTTAACAAAGCCTTAAAACTCATAACAAGTAACTTAACCACCGTGTAGTTATCCAGCAATATATAGTTGTGACCCAATGTCATCAATAAACATCTCATTTCCAGTGCACGAATGCTCACTGGGGGAAAAAACAGTCATATTTGACAGAAATGTTCTCGACTGCAAAGATGTATAAATACCTTGTTTTAATTTGAATGTTATGTTTTTGTCGCCCTCATGTGGCAGAACTGAGATTTACACCATCACAGCCAGAAATCACCTTTGTCACTGCTTTAAGAATGAACTGCTCTTAATTTTACTTTGTAAATAAAAATATAGTGGATATCCTTTCTTGTGAGCATTTTTTTTAAACTTCTAATGAGGAAATTATTGCTAAGTATCTTCTTTTAAATCGTCTTGTGTTATTTTCCTATATATTTTTCGAAGTTTTAAGTAAAGGTCCACTCAGTTTTGAAAAAACTCGTACTATTTGTCTAATTTTAAATGACAAAAATGACAAACCAAAATAATATCTTAAAATGATCTAATTGAAGACAAATTTTCATTCAACCTTTATTTAGACAGGTTAATCCCATTGAGACTTGGGGACTCATTAACAAGAGAGACCTGATTTCTTTAACAAAGCGTGATGACAACAGTGAACAACAACAACAATAGACAGTCACAAAAGGGGCATACAGATGATTATTTTTTGTAACTGTAAATGTAACTCAGAAAATTGTTTGAAGCATCGTGGTTTTGTGGTGTACGCAGTCCAAAGGAAAGGTCCAAAAAATGCAGTTCTATGGTTTATTCCAAGTTGGCAGGCAAACAAGGTGATACATATCACATGATCCCTTCTCCTGCTGTAGCTCCTGCAGGACTGCTCATCTCGTTGCCCCACGTCTGACTGGTGATTAAAAAAAAAAACATGACCACCCACGTGCCTCCAAATCTCCCTAAAACTTACGTATTTATACCTCTAATACCCACATCCCAAACAAAATAAATAAATATATAAACTAAACAAATGACTAACCAACAAATTTATTCTTAACAATTATAAATAATTAAACAAAAATACTAATTTAAAAATCAAACAATAAGCTAATTTATAAACAAACTAAATTCAAAGACTTAAAAAAAATGGAGTGGTACTAAAACTGGGGTCCCCAGATCCCTGAGGGTCCATGAGCCGATGCTTGGGAGTCCACAAGAAAACAACAAACAAATAAATAAATAAAAACAATGTTTATTTTTTTATAAGCACGTAGATGTTTAACAACCCATTAAAATACACCAAAATGCAGGAAATCTCAATTACTCTTACCCCCCCCCCCCCCCCCCGGGGCGCATCTGCTCTTTGCGGTCTGGCATCGATGGGTTTACAAATTAAGCCATGTTACTTGCTGTTATGATTCTGCTCAGTTTTATGTAAAGAGTTTTCTGAAATAATTTGAAGAAGTGACAATACATTTAGTATGTTCATTGTGTGAATAGATAAAGCTTTAAAGTGGTTTTTGATGCTGATAATTTGATCAAAACTAATTTCTGGTAGTTTAAATGAAAAATTTTGTTAACTAAGTGTGTCTTGAATGAAAAATAGCTCATATCTAAAAATTGTATAACACTATTAAAGAACAGGTGTTGAGTATTTAAGTTGCACAAATATTTCTATTGCATTAAAGAGACAAATTTAAAAAATATATTTAATAAACACGAGGGTTATGAGGGGGTCCCTAAACTTGATCACTTGAAAAATGAACGAGACTCGTTTCTGTTAAAAACTAGAAGAGGTTCAGGGAAACAACACTCGTGGTGCATTCAATGACTGAAAGAACAAAAAGAAACGAAGAGATTTTGACTCATGCAGTTTGTAACAGTCACAGTGTGATCAGAGGTGAGTCGCTGTAGAAAAACAGTGAAATGTGAATGTTTTATCACTTTGACCATTTCCTTGTCCTCCAGTTAGATATCAGCTGCCAGGACGTACATCCATATGGGTTGTCACCAGAAGGCCCGGCAGTCAAGATAAGTCCACAACAGGAAACGAGCAGCACTTCCTGTTAACTCATTAAAGAGAAGTTTGACAATTCTGACACAGCCTCTGATGAGAAGAAAACAAAAATCTGACTCAAAGTAAAAAAAAAAATAATATTAAAACAAAAGTTCAGAAACATCTTAAAATATTCCGACGTCTTGCTGTTGAGGAGAAAACACAAAAATACAATCAGATCCATGACAATAATATAACAGCACAACAAAATTACGCTTTGTCGATTGTTAAAGTAAACTTTCAGGATGCAGATTTTAAGATAATTATTATTTTGCTGTTGAGCGTCACTGTTAAAGATGTGATGGTTTTAGGGCGAACATTAAATAAAAAAACAGGCAGGATGATTTGACAGACAGTGAGGACACGTCTCTTTTTGACAGCATGACACAGCAGAACAGCTCAGAACTCAGCAGCAACCACGCAGTGATGGACTCCTGCAGAGGTTGGTGGAAATTCATTCATTTTTATATACAAAGGTTTTCTTCTTAAATATTTATTCTTGGCTAAAGTCTGACCTTTTTACTTTATGAGTCTGAATTTACACTTTTATTTCATTTGCACAGGTATACAGTGGATGATTTTCATCCTCTTCAGCCTCTCTCTCCTTGACTGCACCCTCTCTTGCCCCAGCAGTTGTGAGTGCGGCGATGACGGTTATGTCAATTGTACCGGCAGCGCCGTCCAAGGCATTCCAAGGAAACTGCCACACCACACCTACACCCTGAATCTCACCTTCACGGGCATGAACGTCATAAATGAACGGGACCTGGCTGAGCAGGTTTACCTCCTGCGTTTCTGTCTGACCAACAGCCATCTGCACACCATCCATCCCCGCGCCTTCCATGTTGCTCCTCAGCTCAAGAGCGTCAAGCTGTCGTCCAACGACCTCTCTGCCCTTCCTGCTCAAGTGTTCAGCTCTCTCGTCTCCGTCGAGGAGATTTTTCTCGATGGGAACCAGCTGGAGTATCTCGCTCCAGATATGTTCAAAGGACTTGATGCGTTGCTTATTCTGGATCTGAACCACAACCAAATCTCCAGTTTGTCCTTTGACATTTTTGATGGCCTGACCAATCTCACCTACCTGAACCTCAGCAGGAACAAAATCAAGAAGCTCCCACCCACGATCTTTCACTCCCTGAGCAAACTTCGCTTACTCAGGTTGTATCGCAACGAAATAGAGTTGTTGGAAGCAGGGATCTTTGACAAACTGGTCAGCCTCGAAGAGCTGAGTCTCTTTCTGAACAAGATTACACACCTCCCACCTCAGGTGTTCTGGTCACTTAGGAACCTGATGTCCCTTACTCTCTCCTCCAACAAGCTCCGTGAAGTCCCACCTCGAACCTTCTACAACATGCCTAACCTTATCAAGCTCACCATTTACAAAAACCCCCTGATGTCTCTGCCCGATGAGCTGATGGGCCACATGCCTCACATGCAAGAGTTTTATCTGTACTCCACCAACCTCGTCACTATTCCTGGAAATTTGTTCGCAAACATGTCTGGCCTGCTGCAGCTGAACTTGCATCTGAACGAGCATTTGAGGCAGCTGCCGTCAGGTCTTTTCTGCTGCCTTCCCAAACTTCAAAAGCTCTCGCTGAGGAACAACAACCTCGATCATCTTCATCCTCAGCTTTTTTCCAGACTAACCACTCTGGGCACGCTGCTCCTCAACGGCAACAACCTGACGACCCTAGCCGAAGACATCTTCCAGAACCTTACAGGACTCGAGACCCTTGATGTGAAAAATAACCACCTCAAGACACTCCCAGGAGACATCTTCTTGTCAAACACAGCTCTGAAACATCTCAACATGAGTGGAAACCTCTGGGACTGTTCTTGCGCCATCAGAGATATCGTGAGCTGGATGAAGCAGAACGAGCGTGTTCTTTATGACAACAAGGATGTGATTTGTTTCCGTCCTTTCTATCAGATGCTGCGCAAACTCACCTCTCTGCGAGACGAGGACTTTGACCACTGCTTTAAAAAAAGTACCACGACTTTTCGTTCCACACCAGTTATCGAACAAACACAACCCTTGCGTATCACGTCGGTCACCCCACCGGCGACATCAACCACCTTAGAGACCACAACCTACTCAGCCACCGCTCCACCTAAGAAAGCGTTCACGGCCTCACCTGTTTTTCATGATGTACTGGTGGTCCAGCAGGGTCCTGAGTATGTTCATCACAACCATCACAACGGCTGGGTGTATGTGTGGTTTCTACCATCCAACAGGACTTTAGTTGGGTTCTTCATGATTTGTTACATCCTTCTCTTGGCTGCAGGCTTGTTGCTCATTGTTGCTGCCATATACAACATGTATCGGCTCAGCGCAGTCATGGAAAAGCTGAAGGCCGAGTGTTTACGATGAGTGACACACTCCATTATCAGGCCTGGTGCACGCAGAGATAAACAGCTCGTTTTCCTGAAGCTTCACTCTCTAACTGATTAACATTGTTTCTTTACGTTGTGTTATGTTGTATCGTAAAGGACTTTATTTTATAAGACTAAACCTTAGAACATATATGTTTAAGATTTTGAGGATTAAAAAAAAAGAGAATTAAAGATGTTTGTTAGAATACCCAGTACAGCAGGCTTCCATTAAAAACAGAACTATTGTATTTTAAGGATACATTCAAAATGAGATATTGACTTTTAAGTTGTTTAAAGAAATAGTTTTTCATATCACATCTTTATTTGATACTAATTTTCTTAATTAATCAAAGTATGTAAATGCATTTAAACACATTTTTCTGCCCTCCAGTAAATCGTGTTCTGATGTGTATTTTGACCTTTTTAAATTTTTGAACAAATTACAAGATTACTCAGATTTTTTGAGGCAAATTATTCCTAACATGGAAAATAACATCCTGTTTAAAGCTCAACTTTAATTTTTAAAACATGAAACAAAAATTACGACTTTTTTTTTTTTACACTTAAAAGACTTAATACTTAATGCTCACAACAAGAGGCCTGAAAAACAAACTGAATTAAATCTGTAAATTTTACAAAATTACTTGTATTGTTGAGATATATAATATTTAAAATAAAATAAAATTTAATTATTGCATAAATGAAAAAAAAAAAAATTTTCAAAATGAAGCCACAGATCATTAACGATCTGTTGCCCTCTAGTGGCTAAATCTTCAAACTGCATGTAAAATATTTCAGTTTTAGAAAAGTTTCACGGACATTTTTGAATATTAACTTAATTAAAAGTGATAACACACCAATTAAAAATAATATTTGTTAAAGTTTTTCAAGAAACACTTGAGTAAAGCTAAAACATCAGAGTGTGGTGTATATATTACTGTACTCCTTTGACTGGCATTATTATGAACCACATGACCATAATAATTCATTCAACCTTTATTTATACAGGCTAGTCTAATTGAGCCACGAGGACTCATTTACAAGAGAAATAATAATAATAATAACAATAATTTAACATCACTTTTAAAAACATTCCTGTTGAAAATGTATGTCAAACTTTTTATGATAGTAAATGGGGAGTTTTATATTAACAGCCATGGGCTTTCAAGATGATTCATGTAAAGCAAAACAATAAAAAAAAATAAAAAATAAAGAGCATTATTTACTGTTTATGGATTTTTGAATTTATTCAGCTTTTTGGAACTTTAATTTTTTTTCATTTACTTGAATTAAATGATATATGAAATTCTAATGCAGTGGACTCAAACTGGGGGGTTTTCAGTGAAGTACAAATATTTACAAAAGTGAAATTAAATGCGTGAGTAAATGTACCAACTCAACTTGTAACTACTGGTGAACAGGCCTGCTCACAGAAATTTTTTTGCCATGAGGTCATTATGATGTTTTTCCTGCCTCTCCCACCTCTAATTACGTGTTTATTTTACATCTGGTAAAAGTCAAACACCCCCCCCCCCCCCCCCCAGTCCTGTCCGGCATTGTGACACAGAATTATTGTCTGAGTGTCAAAGTGATGCCCAACAGATTTACTTTCACAAGCAGAGCATTATGGCTGGCCTTAATGCTCCACTTTATATATAAATAAAACTTTATTAGAATTTGCTTTGGGCTTGTTTCAGATGTAATGGACATGCGGATGAAAAACAAAGAAGATAACAAAGCAGAAAAGTGAGAGAAGGGTTAAAAGGTAAAGAAGGAGATAGGAATAGAGGAGAGAGAGAGGGATAAAGAGAACACAAATCAACATCATTGAAGTCTGCCTCTAGACCTGCGGAAAAAAAACAAAAACAAAAAAAAAAAAACAAGACAAAACCAAGAAACCACAACAACAAACAACTTATGTAATAATACTTATAACATTATTAGAAAGTATTTTATACAGTACACGGTAAACAATATATATTTAGTGGCCACCACAACCCAACTGAGTGTGTATCTGATAAACACCTGAATCTAAACACCTGTGTGAGCATGCTTATCACTATAAGGTTTCTCTATAAAACTGTTCAATAGTGGATGTGGGGACCCACAGACCCGTCCCCACAGGACACAATGGTAACACAGGGAAGACCAGAGCCACAGACACACAGAGGCCCCCAAGCCCGGAGCTCTGGGAGTCCCCCAACAGGGACACCCGCACTCCCCAGAGAGAGAAGCAAATGGAAGCCCCTGGTGACCCCCAGCAACCACAATGCAGAAACCCCAGGAGGCTGCAGCGACGAGTCCACAGGCCCCGCTGGCAACCTGCCCCCCCCCCAGAGTAGATCCGGCCATGAACACTGAGCCCCGAGTCCCGAGGTCATACCACCCCAAACAGAGGCCAGACAGAGCCAGGGCACCCAGGCCCCGGCAGGCAGCCACCAGGGCGGGCCTGCACACACCCCACCACCCAGCCCCAGCTGCTGAGAGCCACCAATGCACTGGCAGCAGTGGAACCCAGCACCGGAGGGGAGCACGACAGGGGGAAGTAGACCCCACATTAAATGGGGGGCCCAGATTGATCCAAGAGAGGGGACCAACTAAAACCCAACCCGAGACATAAACAGGCACACAGAGACAGCCCGACAGAGCCTCTGTTGGGCCGTCCATGTGCCCCACACACCTGACAGCAACTGTAAGCCGGCCCAAGGCCGGGGGCCCGAGCAGCAGGGAGCAGCAGCTGAGGAAGGCCGGCCCAGTACACCAAGGATCAGGCACCCCAACAGCCCCACACCACAGGCCTGGAGAAGCCCCGGCATGCCACCTATGCACCCCCCCCACTCCCCCCCACAGCACCCCCCACCATGAATGTCACGTCAGGCCGACCAGCCAGCACCCCGTCAAAGCGAAGCCACGCCCCCGACCGCCGCCATGCACCACCAACAACCACACACACACAACCACAGCTGACCCCCCCCCCCCCCCCCCCCCCCCC